TTCCCAGATTATTTTAATTGATTAAATAAAATATTGATATTTGGTTTCCTTGTAGCAATGCAATTCAAAATATAATATACCTTTCCCACACCCCTACTAAGATGACAAATATTGATATATTTTCTAGGATGATTAGCCTATTTTTATTATGTTATTGTGATTTGTTGTGTGTGTGTGTGTGTGTGTTTCTTTTTTTCTTACACTGAACATCCAGATCCACCCAGACGGACTGTTGCACTCCAAAAGCATTTTGAGCCATGCAGGACAGAGATGTATCTCGTGCAATGTTGTTGAAATGCTTTGTACTCTGAGTTGAATTTTCTATCTTGTGCTGGTCTAATTGTCTTATAAACCATAAGTATTTGTGTGGTGGGGGGTTACTATTAGCAACACACTCAATGTTGATGCTGTTACCTTCCACCACAACTTTCTTTTCCTTTTTCACTGTAACAGTGACAGGCTTATCTGTGGATATAGGAAATCATAACAACAAGACAGTTTGTTAAGATAAATAAATGTAGGTCTACGATTTACTGTATTTGGAGCACATATTGCTTTTCTCACATAAAATGTTGAGTGTCATTTCACTTCCCATGGTAAAGGTTTTAAACTTAGCCGAACAGCGAATCCTCCTGTTATGCATCAGATATGTTGCTACTCCTCGCAGTGTCTTTTGGTAGAACCACTGGCCATGCACCTCCATATGGAAATCCACAAAAGTGTAGTTTTCCAGAAGTGTGTTTGCATTCCATTGAAGGGATGGAGGTAAGAAAGGGCAAGAGTAGATTATGCTGCAGTTGGCCTGGAAATTCTCCCCTTCCACCATTTGCTTCTGTATGTAGATTATGGGAGCTTTTCTTTCTAGAAGTTAAAAAACAAAAAACAAAAAACAAAACGTAATAAAGAGAAAAAAATGTCTTGTATATCTTGAGATTTAGAATTTTCTAAATGACATGTACTGTATGGCAAATTGCTATTGTACACTTAAACCAAGTAGCCATGTTATGTGCTGGGTTTCTTGGATGCTGTAACAGATTTTGAGTTTTCCAAATTCTGTCAGAACTAGTTTTTAGTTGTTTTTATTTACATTTTCACAGAATTTTTTATATATTTTTTAATTAAGCTCCCGCAACCATAGTCATTTTCTAAATAATACTTTTTGGCTTTTTGCCTTTATGGTGATATTGCAGTGAGATGAACAGGGAGGCAGGGGGGAGAGAGTGAGAGGGGAAGAAACGCAACAAAGGGCCTCATACCCATACCCGGGTGCCGCTCTCTAAACACATGTGGTTGCCCAGTCACCTACTCATCCACTGAGCTAAACTGGCACCTAACATTGGTCAGTCTAACTTAAATGGAAGTTTGCCAATATTCACTTACCAACACTGATAGTTACAGTTTGATCATGGAATGTCTGAGTTGTCTGAGAGTCTGGATTGATCCAAACATAAACACGTAGGTTATGGTCAGCTGTGCTCACATTGTCAATCTTCAGGGTGCAGTTTCCCTCTGCAGGTTTGCCAGATACTTTGGTGCGTCCTCTGAACTGCTGTTCCACGTTATTAGAATAAAGTCCATCATAAACAACAGGATACTTTAGATTATGATACTGGTACCAGATAACTCGATTGTAAGGTTCTGTCTGACATGGCACCACAACACAGGTTCCTTCATCAGCAACAACTGTTTTGGGTACTCTAACGCTGAAGCCTTTCACCTGCTGGAGAACTGAGGTACCTCAAAAGGGTGAGAGGAAGAGTAGAGCAGAAGGGAAGGTCAAAAACATCACAAAACCCCAAAATGTTGTAATAATATCTTTGCTGACGAATAATAAAACAAAATAGGTGACCCACAAATAGAAACTCTGATGCACAGAGAGATGCTATTATGAAAGCTGGCTAACCACTAAGAGACATCAACCCTATAAAAATAACAAAAAACCACCAGTGACTTCTCAGAAATCAACCTAATATTGCTGTCAACTCATTAAAAATGAAATGAGTGGATGTTCTGTCTTCCTGTATTCTGCTTTC